AGCGGGGGGGGCGCTGGGGGCTCAGGTCTGGGCCGCTTCCATCCGCATCCCAAGTCTCAGCCTCGCCGCCAGGGCCTGCGTGGGTCCGGGTCCCCTAGGGGGGTCGTGGGGCGCCGCCAGCGTCTCCCTCCACCCAGGCCACCCTCCCGCCCGCAGGGACGTGGTTGCTGTCTCGCGGAACATGCAGAAGGAGAAGCTCAGCCTCGCGCGGCAGCTGGCGCTCCTCAGGTTCGGTCTGGCTTAGCCCTGGAGGGCAGGGGCTCAGCCCAAACATCCCTGACCACTGCCCGGCTTCCTGCCGGGAAGGCCTTCCTTGTACCTGCCCTCTCTCCCTCACGCTGCAGCCCCTGCCTGGTCTGGGGGAGAGCCCGGGCCCACGCTCCCCGCCCTAAAATTCTGCCTCCTGAGACCTCTCAGAGTCCCTGGACTCCCTTCCCCAGGGAGCTGAACACGCGGCTACGCGACGAGAGGGACGCCTGTGAGACCAAGCAGCTGGGCAGTGGCCCCAGGAAGGCTCTGTCCGCGGCCTGCCTACCGGGGCCCACCTGCTGCTGTTGCTGCTGCTGCTGCAGCAACTGGGCTCGACCCCCCAGATGTGGCTCAGGCCACCTTCCCAGTGCCCGGTGACCAGCAGCCCTAGTGACTCACGGGGCGTTCCCTGAAGAAACTGCCCTTTGAAAGTGACTCATCGTGGCTGGGGCTGCTGGTCCAGGACCTGGGCTCGACCCAGTGGGCTGCGTGGCCTGCCTGCCTGCGGACATGAAGGAACTAACGGGGAGAGGGGTGTCAGGCTCCCCTGGGCCCCCCTCTGGTCCTCATCCTGTCCCCACCCCCCCATCAAACCCATCCCTGTCCAGCACTCCAAATAAACTTGACCAACCTCACTGCGGCCTCCTGGACCTCCTGTGTGTGTGGGGCCACAGGCATCGCGCGTCCGGGCCCAAGTGCGGCACAGGCCACCACCCTCCGAGTCGGGGCTGTGGGTCCTTGTTTGTGTCTGTAGGCGTCCCTGCGTCTCTTGTCAGACCCCAAGCCCTCTCAGCCCATAAAAGCTTGAAGTCCCATGGGCCTCTCTGTAGGAACAAGGAGACCAGGGCCCACAGGCTCACAGGGAGCCCTGGGTGGGGTTTCCTCCAATCCAGACCAGCTGACCATCTCTTGGCCATGCCACCCTCACGCAGCTCCGGGTAACCCCCTGGGGTCAGGCCAGTCCTGCATGGAGCCTCCTGGGGTAGGCCTGGAGCCACCTCCCATGCCCAAGGTCCTGCCAGGGGAGCTGGGAGCTGCCCGCTGAGCCCAGGGCAGGTGGGGGAGTGCTGTCCACTGTCCCTGGAGAGCTTCCCTCCTTACGCTCCCCCTGCTCCCACTCAGCCTCCCAGTCTAGTGGGTCCGCAGGATTTTCTCAAGCCCTCCCACCACTGGCAGTGGAGGGCCAGAGCCCTCCAGACTGGAGTATCTCGCACAGGGACCCTAGGCCTCCGAACGCCAGGCCAGCATCTGTCCTGCTGAGCCCTGTAGCCTCTGGATGGAACCTGGATCAGGAGGAGGGAAAGAAGAATTGGGCCTGGAGGACAGCGGGGTCTTGGACAGAGTCAGGGCCTTGGCTGGGCTGGCGGCCTCCCCCACCTCCCCCGCCCCTAGCTCAGTGCCTCCATCTCCTGAGGGTCTGGGCCCTGGCCAGGCTGTGGAGGCCTCCGGGCTGCAGCTCGCCCGGCCTCCACAGCCCCGTTAGAGACCCTCTCTAGGCGCCGGCACCGGCTGGTATCCCGCCCGCCCGCGCAGAGCGCGCGTTCAGACTTGTGGGCCGTAGGTCGGGTTGTTGGCCATGGGCGGGGCCTGTGGACAGGGGCGGAGCTTGCAAACAGTGGGCGGGGTCTGTGATGGCGTTTGTTGGCCGTGGGCGGGGGCCTGCGGGCCGGGGCGGGGCTTGCTGGTCGTGGGCGGGGTTTGTAGGAATGGGCGGGGCCTGTGGGCCGGGGCGGGGCCGTAGGCGACCGGTGCACCGCCCTCGCAGGCCGCCGGCGGGCCGTGCATTCTCATGGACAGGGGCGGAGCTTGCAAACAGTGGGCGGGGTCTGTGATGGCGTTTGTTGGCCGTGGGCGGGGGCCTGCGGGCCGGGGCGGGGCTTGCTGGTCGTGGGCGGGGTTTGTAGGAATGGGCGGGGCCTGTGGGCCGGGGCGGGGCCGTAGGCGACCGGTGCACCGCCCTCGCAGGCCGCCGGCGGGCCGTGCATTCTCATCG